TACATCTGTCAAAATTTGTAGAATATACAACAAGCATGAACCCTAATTTAAGCTATGGACTTAGGTGACAATGATGTGTGAATGTAGGTTCATTGTTGCAACAAATGTTCCTTTGTGGTGTAGGATGTTGATAGTGGGGAAGGTATGGTATGCATGCGTGAGGATAATGGGTATATGGAAACTCTCTTTACCTTTTGCTCAATTTTACTGTGAAAATCAAACTGTCCCCAAAATAAAGTCTTAAAAATGAGCTTATTTCTCCCCCAAGTTTGGAAGATAATTTTACTAAGAATAATTGTAGGCCGAAAGTTATAACACTTTATTTCCACCATTGCTGCTGAAAAATCAGCTGTCAGTTTGGCAGCCCTTCAGTGGTTAATGCTTCTTTCTTTTCTGGCCTCTTTTTTTCTTTGGCATGCTGCCATTTCAACGTGTTGTGCCTAGGAATCTCTTCTCACCTGGTTTGGAATTCACCGGGTTTCACATATCAGAGAATTTGTTCTTTCATTCATTCTGGAAATTTGTTAGCCGCTATCTCTCTGAATAATTTATTTTCCCTTTCTATTTTTATCTTTAACTACATGTGGAAGTATAAGACTCTTCTTCTTCCCCAAAATAAACTTCTTCAAGTTACTTTGTCTCTGTCCAAAGCCATAGAAAATGTGTCCTGTGTTGGAGTTTTTGGACCTCCCTTATAATCCACCTGAACCATGACCCACCCGAATTGTCCTCTGCTGTGAAAAGCCATTTGCTTAGAGTTGGAGAAAACACAGTAACACAAAACAATGTTTTCCATTGGTGGGGTTCATGGTAACCTGATTTTGGGCAATATGGTTGCCAAGTTTTCAATTATATATAATATTATTGAAACAGGAGGTGATCCAGCCTTGTTGGTCATGGAAAATGAGGGACCTATTTCATGATGGAAATGAAGTAGGTATATCACCAATTAATGTCATCTGTAGAATTTTTATATAGTTATTGGAAATTTAGGCCATGGAGTTTCTAGTGCTGCCAACGTATGGCATAAGTTTAAAGCTAATTTTTAATTTTTTTTTTTTTTTTTTTTTTTTATCCTCACCTGAGGACATTTTTCCATTTTTTGTTCAGGTAGAGTGGGAGGGAGAGAGAGGAACCGAGAGAGAGGAGAGAAACATCGATGTGAAGGGACACATCGAGTGGCTGCCACCCGCACGACCAACCAGGGCCGGGGACAAACTGCAACCGAGGCACGTGCCCTTAGCGGGAACCGAACCCGGGTCTCTCCAGACTGCAGGCCGACGCTCTAACCGCTGAGCCAAACCGGCCAGGGCTAAAGCTAATTTTTAAACTGGATTTACAACTCTATCAATTGGTTTAAAAAAGCCTCCTCTTCACCCTTTAATAAAAAGGCAAGACCCCTAATGAACTCTGCATAGTCTACTATGAAGTTATAAACAATAAAGAAATGGATAAGCTAGTTAACAGCTCATGACAGTCTCCATCTGGAAACATTTGAAAGCTAGCTTACCAGAACATATTCTGAATAAACCTGTAGGTGGGCACCTGGTGATGACATTCAGTATGGCCATATCCACTTTTGCCAGATCACCATCTAAAATTATTAAAACCTGTTATTGTCAGGGATCTCAGTTTTTCCCAGAATTTGCAATGGCAGGAAATATGAGCAAGCTGAGACTTCCGGTCAAGATGGCGGGTAGGTAAACGCGGTATCGCGTCCTCCCACAACCACATCAAAGTTACAACTAAACTACAGAACAACCATCATTCAAAATCGCCTGAAATCAAGCTGAATGGAAGTCCTACAACTGCGGAATTTAAGCAGCAGCCACATCCAGACTGGTAGGAGGGGCGGCAGCGCGACGGGCTGTGGTGCGACGGGCTGGCCCCACACCCACGTGAGGTGGATAAAAATCAGGAGGCTCCCGCGGCTGGGAAGGTCCTTCCTGAGGACTGAGGGGTCCCCGTCCCACACCAGGTGCCCCGCTCAGGGTTCCAGTGCCAGGAAGAGAATCCCCATAACTTCTGGCTGGAAAAACCAGCGGGAACTGAGGCTCAGGGAAGCTGAGGCGGCTGGAGCCCCAGGCAGCTCCTTAAAGGGCCCGCACACGGACTTATCGGACTCTCTCCCTCTAAGCTTGGAGGGGAGGCAGCTCGAGGGGCGCCAGAGACACACAGGGAAGAACTGAGCTGTTTGGCGCTGGAGCTAGGGCTGGAGAGGGGGCTTCCTCGGGGACTAACGTGCTGTAAGAGGCATTTGTTCCTTTGGTGAGCCCTTCCCTGGGGCGGCAGACAGCCGCCATATCTGGGACTCTAGCAACCTGGCTCACACTGGTAGCCCCGCCCTGGTGACTCCCTGAGGCCCCGCCCCACCCAACTTTCAGGCCCACCCAAGCTGTTGCCAGTTGCTTAACCATAGGATTGGCCTGTCTTGGATCCTGCTTCAGGTTTTCCTAAATTCTTTCAAGCGAGCAGCATCTGGTCTCAGTGAGCCCCATACCTCTCGTTAAGTAATACACAGAAACAAACACAGGGAGGCAGCCAAAATGAGGAGACAAAGAAACAGGTCCCAAATGAAAGAACAGAACAAAACCCCAATAAAAGAACTAAGCGAAATGGAGATAAGCAACCTAACAGATACTGAGTTCAAAATACTGCCTATAAGGATGCTCAATGAACTTAGTGAGAACCTCAGTGAACTTAGGGAGGGCCTCAAGAGCATAAAAAAGGACCAGTCAGAAATCTTGGCTACACAGTTAAAATTGAAGGAGGCATTAACTGAAATAAAGAATAATTTACACAGCTTCAATAATAGAGCATGTAAATCTAAGGAGCAAACCATCGATTTGGAATATAAGGAAGCAAAAAATGCCCAATCAGAACAGCAGAAAGAAAAAAGAATCCAAAAAAATGAGGATAGTGTAAGGAGCCTCTGGGACAACTTCAAGCGTGCCAACATTCACATCTTGGGGGTGCCAGAAGGAGAAGAGCGAGAACAAGAAATCGAAAACCTGTTTGAAACAATCATGGCAGAAAACTTTCCTAACTTGGTGAAGGAAATACATTCAAGTCCAGGAAGCACAGAGAGTCCCAAACAAGATGAACCCCAAGAGGCCCACACCAAGACACATCATCATCAAAATGCAAAAGGTTCAAGACAAAGAGAGAATCTTAAAAGCAGCAAGAGAAAGGCAGCTAGTTACCTACAAGGGAGTTCCCATTAGGCTGTCAGCTGATTTCTCAAAAGAAACTTTGCAGGCCAGAAGGGAGTGGCAAGAAATATTCAGAGTGATGAAAAGCAAGAACCTACAACCAAGATTACTCTATCCTGCAAAGCTGTCATTTAGAATCGATGGCCATATAAAAACTTTCCCAGACAAGAAAAAGTTAAAGGAGTTCATCACCACCAAACCGTTATTATATGAAATGATGAAGGGTCTTTTTGAAGAAAAAGATAAAATATATGAACAAACGAAATGGCAATGAATACATATCTATCAACAATGGAATCTACAAGCAAAATGAACAGGTAGAACTGAAACATTCTCATAGATACAGAGAACATTTTGTTGGTTGCCAGTTGGGAGGGGGGTTGGGGGGATGGATGAAAAAGGTGAAGAGATTAATAAGTACAAATTCATTGCTAGACTGACAAACCTCAAAGGGAAAGGGGTTGGGGGGGTGGTGGGAAGAAATAAACCAAAGAACTTATATGCATAACCAATGGACACAGACAATAGTGAGGGAAAAGGTGGGAGGGGGGCAGGAGTGGGACGGAGGGGGTCAATGGGGGAAAAATGTGGAACATCTGTAATACATTTTACATCCAACAATAAAGATTTAAAATAAATAAATAAATAAAAAGAAATATGAGCAAGCTATGAACCCTTTGCTTATTAAAATAACAGTGGCACCAGTTCAGTCAATTGCTTTTGCCTTAGTAACCTTAAACAAGAAAAAAACAAGCAGCAATTTTAAGCAGACTAGACAGGATGGGAGGAGAATAAGGTGTCCCTTTGTTTAGATGAAGCAGTTTGGAGATTATAAAAAAATAATCCAGGAGTAAACACAGAATACCATTCCAACTGATATTTATCCCCCGCCTATTCTAGACATTGTGGTTCCAATTCTCACAGCACCTGCATTGGTCACGAAGAAGATCAAAAATAATTGCCAGTGCCACCTTACAAAACAACAGATAACTAAAACTCATGCAGCTTAGTGCAGCATTTCGTGAGAGTTTGTATGTTGCAGGCACTGGTTGTGCCAGGCACTGGGACTCAAAAAAGAAAAAGACATGGCTCCACCCTTACATACTTACGTAAATGAATGCATTCATGTAAGTAAATTTCAGACATGCTATTCTAGATTCCGTGCCACAGTATGACTTGACTGTTCATAGGTGTGAGCCAGATGCGCCACACCCTGATAAAAAGATGAGGCTGACACGGTGATTATGCCACATAAAGCTCCATTGTGAGGCTCTGGCACTTGAGAGGTGTGCCTCCCATAAATTCTCCGAGGACTGGGTGAGGAGGCTGGAAATGCCTTTTCAGGGAAATTTTACTGATGAGGCAGCCATCAGTCATTAATCCACAACAATGAGTCTTTTGATTCCATGTCAGCCTCGGGGCCATACTTGTTAGTGCTTCTTCGGCTCAGTTTGTCCCCGACTATCAGAGTTCACCATCGCTGTCTGCTCACCTTCAGCAAGCAGAGGCAGACCTCCCCAGCTCAGAATACTTGCCCAGAAGAGAAGTATGTCGTTTGCTTTTTGTCTGTTTTTTGCACTGAGAGGAATGACCAGGCAGTATGCTTCATGTAGTTCCATAAAAGCAGAACTTTTTTAAAAACTGGAATTAGTTTCCAAAACAGAACTTCTAAGGTGGGAGTAAAGAACTGACGAATTTGGTATTCCAACTAAACTAAACTAAACCTTCTTACTCATAAAATCTTTTCTTTCCCATTTCTTGGCTTAAAAAATGTTGTTGTTTTTTCAGGTTGATATCAGGTTGATTAATGGAAAACATATTGAAACCTTCCATGAAGATCTCACCTTGACACTGGATACATTGGCTTCACCAAATTTACCCAAGATAGAAGAAGATCTAAAAGGTACATTCATGTTCTCTGTTCGATATGTTCTGCCAAAGTAGTTTTTATTTCCACTCTTCCTTACTTTTTTCTTCCAGTGTATGTTTAGTATGTGTAAAGATGGATTGGCAGGTATGTAGGACACTTTGGCAGGAAGTGCTAGTGTCATTTATCTGAGGCCAAGGCATGGGTAGGCATACAGGACAGTTGGGAGTTTGGTTCATGATATTGAATAGACTTGAGATTTATGGGGGAAAATGATGGTCCTCCAATTCAATTGGTCTCTCATGTCTTTGTTGATGAGAGGATCCAAAAAAAATGTAATAGTTGTTTCATAAACCAAGGATAGCCCTGAACAAGTGGAAAGCTAGTTTTTAAAGTGAGTTCAGAGAGACTCACTTTCAGAAGAGTGATTTATCCTGTAATACTCTAGTGAAGGTAGCATAGGTACACCAAAGGCAATCACTGTTACAGAAATAGTCATGAAGGCAACATTTGAATCAGAAAAAAAGAGCTTTGGAAAGCCCTCAGCCTTTTAGAGATTCAGCTTCAGGAAACTGAAATAAATCCACGGGTCTACTCTGACTTCTCATATGCCTTTGTATGTTTGGATTAGTTTCCAACAGTTTGTCCTTTGGGCTTTCCATTGGGCAACATCGTCAAGAATTCCTTATGTGAGCCCTGGCCAGTTTGGCTCAGCGGTTAGAGCGTCCGCCTGCGGTCCGGAGAGACCCGGGTTCGGTTCCTGCTAAGGGCATGTACCTCGGTTGCAGTTTGTCCCCGGCCCTGGTTGGTCGTGTGGGTGGCAGCCACTCGATGTGTCCCTTCACATCGATGTTTCCCTCTCTCTCTCTTCCTCTCTCTCCCTCCCACTCTGTCTGTACAAAAAATGGAAAAATAATGTCCTCGAATGAGGATTAAAAAAAAGCCTTATGTGAAGGTTTTCTTTTAGGCATCATTTCCTCAGGGACATCGTCATCCTTTTAATCACTATCTCTTTCTTCATTTATGCTGATAAATTGCCTTCAATTTTCTCTAGAGTCTTCATGTCTAGAGTCTTTCCACAGTGTTAGCATTCTTACTGTGGGTCCTTCCTTCTGTAATTCCATTTATAATTTTACTTCCCCTGTGAACTACTTTTTGCTTCTTTGCTATACTTTCCTCTTTCTTGGCCAATTTGTTCCTTCAAAAATCCAGTTTTGTGAAATGTCATGAGGGTTTATCATTGGGAAACCAAGGAGGCAACACAACTACACACTTTGCCTTGTGTGTGTGAAGTGAATACTAATTACACAATTACATCCAATTCATATATCGTGGTAATGTTACCGAAAGGGGGACGGGGCCCTGAGTGGGTCTGCCTAGGGCTGGCCAGCAGTGTGTGGGCTCTTCACTTCTTGCAGGGATGATTTCACAACACAGGCCCAGGTGATTTGTGAAAGCTGGGGACAGAGAAACAAGGAAGGGCCTAGAATAGAAGAAGCAACAGGACAGGAACTGGTGGGGAAATGAGCCCAGGCTGGGCTGCTTTGGGTCACTAAGAAGTCACAGAAAAGGGGACCTCTGGGACAGGTTCAGGGGGTTAGCCCAGGACGAACTACTGCTGCCCATTGCTGGCCTGGTTGCAAGCCTTGTGGGGTCCCTCAGAGTTTAGAAGATGCATGCCTGGTGAGGGCAGGAGAGAGGGAAGGGAAAGGCACTGGCGTGCTCTGGGGAAGGAGAGCTCACTGGGTCCTCCTTCCTAAAGGCTTTTAAGGGTAGAAAGCTCAGGGGGGGGTCCCAGGGGAGGATCTCAATAGACTATCCATCAGCTTTCCAGGTGGGTCCTTTCAGGGCTGTGGTCTCCACTGATTGGTCAGTGCCAGGGCAAGGGGTCATTAGTTAATGCAGCTGGTCCTGAGGTCAGCCATGGTGTCACTTGTCTGGTTTTGCTGCTTTATTGGTCCTGGAGCTGCAGTGCAACTGAGGCCTAGATATTATCTCTATGGAAGAAACATCAGAGTAGGAGAGGTTACTCTAGGGACAAGGTCCTTGTTTTACCAGTTTTGTCTCATGCTAGGTACCCAGAGCTTTCCACCCTGGTGACCTTGTGCACCTGGCTGTAAATTGCTTGGCCAGTTTTTTTTCTTTTTCAGCTATCTTGTCTCAGTTTCCCTACCCCACTTGCCAAGGAATGTTCCTAGCTTCTTACTCACCTGCCTCAGGAACTGTGTTGTTAGGGGACTTGTGTTAATGGACTAAATCATAGTAACAGAAATGCATGCATTTTGTAACTGTACATTTTGTAAAAGTGAGTGTTACCAGAGAGGGGACCTAGCCTTGAGGGGGTCTGCTTAGAGCTGGCCAGTAGTGTGTGGGTTCTTGACTTCATGCAGTTAAGATTTCACAACACAAGTCCAGGTTATTTTGAAAGGACATGTATTCAAGCTGGGGACAGTAAACAAGGAAGGGCCTAGGACAGAAGCAGCAACAGAAGAGAGACTAGGTGGAGAAATGAGCCTAGACAGACTGCTTTGGCTCACTGAGTCAGAGAAAAGGGGGCCCAGGGTGAGCCATCACTGCCCGTTGCTGCCCTGGTTGCAAGTCTATGGGGACCCTTGGAGTTTAGGAGATGCCTGCCTGTGAGCGCAGGAGAGGGGGGGAGAAAAGGCCCTTACTTTTGAGGGTTTTTAAAGACTGGGAAGATTTTAGGGGAGGATCTCTATAGAACATTCATCAGCTTTATACCGATGTGCCAAAAGGAGATTTATTTCTTTTAACTTCATCTGTCCTTGGGTGTGGTTGGCAAATGGCACTAATTGGGATTTCTGCTATCAGTCACCCTGAGTAGGGTGATTTAAGCTATTTATCCTCTGGTTGAGGAGAAGTACAAACCATTTACTCTTAAGTGTTCTTGGTTACAGGAGAAAGGATTTTGCAATTTACTGAATGGCTGTAACCTTCTTGGCCATTTAACTGTCTGTTTTCCTATTCTGCTTGTCCTGGCTCACCAGCCTGTCTCAATAGGACTGCTATATTCAGAGGCTGTACACTAGAAGTGTCCATGTGTTTCTTGGCCTAATTTTAATTACCACATGCTTATGAAAATTGCTTTGAAGATATTTTACAATTGAGGATTTACTCCCACTTGTTTGAAATGGTTTTCTTACAAATTCATTTTAAGGAGGTCTTACTGTTTTTTCATATTTTTTACCTTGATCTTGGTGAACTGGTAATTATTTCATGGTTCCTGCATTAAATTAAATGCTGTTTAGTCTTAGTATCTATAACATTTTGGTCTTCCACAAAGATAAGATGTGGCCCTGGCTGGTTTGGCTCAGCGGTAGAGCGTTGGCCCGTGGACCAGTGAGTCCCAAGTTTGATTCCAGCCAAGGATATGTACCTGGGTTGCGGTTCATCCCCGGCTCTGGTCGGGGTCGTGAGGGAGGCAACCAGTTGATGTGTCCCTCTAGCAATTAGGAAGTTACACCCATTTACAGTGGTATGAATATCTCAATTAACATTGTCACCTACTCATTTTATTTTTGGTTTTACATAAAAAATTATAATTTTTAAACCAGACATATATCTATGCGTCATAAATGTCTAGTGTTCTTAGAAGTCTAAGGACACATATATCCAGCCTATAGTGCTGAGCCTTCCAAAAAGGAATGATATAATTGTGACCAACTCTGCTGCTCTATGTAACTTCCCTGATAGGACAATCACATTTCATATAACCATCTTTCCATTTCCTCATATATCTCTTCAATGTTATTCCATTGGTAGATCTACCAAGTGGATCACTGACATACCGCTTAGAAGATCTGGCCTATACAAGAAGCGGGGACAAAGGCAACTCGGCAAACATAGGTATGTTTTTTGCTTATACAAACCATCTTTCACATCTCTAGAATTGATTTCTGTCACTTACTAAGTTTTCATTTGGATTCAAACAATAAAAGTTGTGCTTACTGTGTTGGTTAAAGCGTATTAAGTTATCCAGTGCTATTTATTTTCTCACTGGTGTAACAAACAAAAATGTATGCTTCAAATTAACTGTGCCTTTCAATAATACATTTTCTCAAAAAGATAATTTAAACACACGTGGGGCCAGAGGACCCACTCCTGTATCCCAGTATTCTACTGCACTTGTGCCAGTTGACCTGTTGACAAGTGCTCCCTTTTAATCTTCTTTTCCCTAAAGTTCTCTGAATAGTACAATACTTTATCACCGTATTTCTATATTTCCTCTATATCTTTTTAAAGAATATCTCTTCGCCTCTTAAAACTCTTTTCTCCTCCGTTTTCTCCCCAGAAATTGCCAGATCCTTTTCTTTTCTCCTTAGAATAACTTCCCTGAGTTTTTGTTTGTTTGTTTTTGTTCCTTTTTAACCTCATGGAATACCATTTACTCATCTCTTTACCGAAATCCCAAGAATAACCAGACTATTGTTTAATGAATGCCTTTAAGTGGATAGTAAATGCCTTTGTCCTTTCGTGAAAATAATATATATAAAACCAGAGTGGACGTAAATCTACACTGTCTAGTGAGTTTGCAAACTGAGAGGAATACAGGCGTATGCACTTATTACAGTGCCTGTGTCTGCAGTGTTATAGGCCATGACTCCGCTGACACTGTGTCTGTCCCTGGAAGGCTGTCTGCATTACGCACAGGCGTTGATGGGCTTCATCTTCACCATTATCCACTGTATTTATTGGAGCTGTTTGAGCTGAGATGACTAAAAGACATGGGATAGCCAACCTGTTATTTCTGAACATTCCCTAGCACAGTGATTTTCAACCTTTTTCATCTCATGTCACGCATAAACTAATTACTAAAATTCCGCTGCACACCAGAGAATATATTTTTTGCTAATCTGACCCCCCTAAAAATAGGTATAATTTTGATTGATTTAATAAAAGATAATAGTAGTAGTAATTAATTACTACTGCTACTTTTTAAAAAAGTAGTTCCAGAGTGCCTTTTTAAAAAATCAGGTGCCTATACTTATATATAAGGATTTCTGGTACCAAGAATTAGTCAATCAGATTCATCTTTATTATGTGGTGAAGCAGTAAGATGCAACTCTATTATATGACTATATATTTATGGTTCAAGACAGGACATTCACATTGGAGCACTATTGTTATATTGGCTGTTGTCATTTTTTTATTAGACTATCTAAGGGAATAGAGGTCAGTGCCCTGACTAAATAGTATTGCATGCTTTAAAAATTCTTGCAGAGCACCAGAGTGCCCTGGCACACTGGTTGAATAGAGCAGTGAGCATGGTTATCAAGGTCCTTGACCTCTGGAACTTATAGTCTTTTGAAGTTAATATTCTAACATTTTTCATTTGATTTTTGCATCAGTCTTCCATCCTCTGTTCTCCAGTTGCAGCTATTTGTCATATGCTTAGTTTGAAACATTGAGGGAATGAAAGCAAAGTTATTTAGAATTTCATAATACCCTTTGAAATAATTAGAGTTGCCAGACAAAATAATGCCTTGTTAAATTTGAATTTCAGTTAAATAATGAATAATTTTTAGTGTAAGTATGTCCCATGCAATGTTTAGGTATGTCCTAAAATAGATATATCTACGTCTGGCAACTCTAAATTAGAGAAACTCTGTACATTGCCAAAGCAGGGAGAATGACATTCATCACTAAGAGATACAGTTTGTCCACTGTATCTCCTCAAATCCCCTCTCCCCCATCCCCATCAGACACACAGTATCCTCACAGAATCAGAGTAATCAGATCCTTCAAATCAGTGAGTCATGTTGATAAATCTTCAGCATATGTGCTTAGTAATGTGATGTTTTGTACACAATAGGCGTCATAGCACGGCACCCTCTCTACTACCCGTACTTGAAAAAATTTCTCACTGCTCAAGCCGTAGAAGATTATTTCCAACATATTCTGCATAAAGACCAGCCTGAAGAAAATTCAGTGATAAGGTATGGTTCAACTCAAGTGATTGGATTACCACAGTTAGATTCGGGCCTTATACTAGTTGAGCATGTTGATTTTGAATTAGGACATCAATAGCTTTTATTTGGATTCTAGGACTTTTATCTCTTGCTTAAGTTATGGGAGACACAGGGAAGCAGAAGACACGATTGTTATCCTTCAAAATGAACTGGTTGTCTTCCTGAATTAACACTCTTTGAACACTAAAGTGACAAGATCTGGAACATCCAGAAGTCAATATGAGAACCTTTACCACATCCTAAATTGGATGGTCCGAAGCCCAAACGTAGGAGATGGGAGAGAGCTGTGTGACGTGGACTAGGGAAAAATTTGAGAGAAATAGTAGATTGGCCCTTTAGGTGGTGCCTCACTGTCAGAATCTTAATATAGTTGAATCATATGCCAGAGAAAATCTATTAATAAAGTGTAGGTCCCTTTTGGTTGCTTTCTCTAAGTGAAATGTAAATAGTCTAATTTCCTTAAAATTACAGAATTTTTAAGGAGTATATGCAATATTTTCAAGATGTCAGATAACGTATACATTTAAAAACTAAATTACATATGTAGTGTTTGATATGATTATGTTATATATTTTTAAAGATCATTATTTTCAATGAAAAGTAAATTATACAATTTTTCTTTTAATCAGATTACTATTTCATTATTCTTAACTTCCATTTATTTTCTGATAGCTGACTTTTAGAAACTCATTTATCTGTTTTTAAAATATGTTTTTATGGATTTTTTAGAGAGGGAGGGAGGGAGAGATAGAAACATCAATGTGAGAAACATCAATCAGCTGCCTCCTGCACGCCCCCTACTGGGGATCGAGCGCACAATGCCGGCATGTGCCCTGACCAGGAATGGAACTGAGACCTCTCAGTCCACGGGATGACATTCAATCCACTGAGCCACACCAGCCGGGCAGAAATTCATATATCTTAACAGTTTAATCTAAGACCAGAGGACGGAAATAATTAGATGAGTTTATTTACCAAAATGAACAATCAGAACATTCAAAACTAAAGGTTAGTGTAATAGATGCTACAACTTTATTTTTGTTTTATGTTTCTTTTTTAAATGTTATGTATGTAATCTCTTAGTGTTTTATTTGTTGGTACATAACTCCAGACTCCCACTTCATGCACAGATGCTACTACTTCTAAATAAATAGTCTTTTCTGTGGTCTTTGATTTTGGAATATGGTCTCAAGAACCGCTTAAAACACATTGCAGGGTTTCTCTGTTTTAGTTCATTAGTGTTTTATGTGACTAAAAGCAACAGTGAGATTCTGTGTTACTTTTTATACTCTTTCACCCCAAATAAGGTCACTGTACTTTTCACACTGTAGGTGGATCTTTTTAAATGTCTTGACTTATTTTAGATGTTTGGAAATGTCAGGTAAGTAGCTGTTAGAATGGAAAGTGCTACTGCACTTTGATAAAGGAGATTAGAAGGCAGAACATTGCAGTTACAAGGTTTATGCAAGAGTTTAGGGAAGACAGGCAAGGACCCATACCAGACAGATCACTATCAGTGTTTTGAATAGAAAAGGCATTTGAAATAGGCTGGGGTTGCAACTGAAGAATCACTGGAGCAAGGCTTAATTGAGGACTGTGATCCAGTAGACTTGGATCAAAATAGAGTCAAGTTACCCTGGCTGGTTTGGCTCAGCGGTTAGAGCGTCGGCCTGCGGTCCAGAGAGACCCTGGTTTGGTTCCCGCTAAGGGCATGTACCTCGGTTGCAGTTTGTCCCTGGCCTTGGTTGGGTCATGCGGGAGGCAGCCACTCGATGTGTCCCTTTCATGTCAATGTTTCTCTCTCTCTTCCTCTCTCCCTCCCACTCTATCTGAACAAAAAAATGAAAAAATGTCCTCAGGTGAAGATTAAAAACAAAACAAAAATAGGGTGAAGTTCTTGGCAGTTTGAAGCCCATTGACTTAGTTACACAGGACAGACTTAGGGAAGGCTGAGGTCACAATCAGACAAGTTAGCAAAGCATATGAGAATTTCCTATTTATTTATTTATTTATTTATTTATTTATTTATTTATTTATTTTTGTTCGTGTCCCTAGCGGGAACGGGACCCAGTACTCTCTGGTTCTCAGGCTGACACTCCAGCCGCTGAGCCAAACCAGCCAGGGCTATTAAGAATTTCTTAAAGAGCATAAGACAGCCAGACAACAGAAGCTGAGGTCTGGCTCTGAGGTAGTACTAGGTATCAGTTCCTATAAATTTATTTTAATAAGAGGTTATATTTAACTTAGACCTTTTCTTTTTTTTAAAATCATCACTGGAGGATATGTTTTTATTGATTTGAGAGAGAGAAACATCGATCAGTTGCCTCCCATACCTGCCCCAGCTGGGGATTGAACCCGAGACCTGCGTATGTGCTCTGACCGGGAATCAAACCCACAACATTTTGGTTTATGGGACGATGCTCCAACCACTGAGCCACCTGGCCAGGGCTAACTCAGACCTTTTCTCTGTCCAGGCAGATACACAAGTCTTCCATAGACAGCTCTGCCACTGTGTCAGTATTTCTAAGACTGTGTTTGTTGGGGCAAATCATCAGCTACATTTTCAAACTACAAAAACCACGTTTGTGTGGGACAGCCGTGCTCTGCCTGGAGTCTCTCTGAGGCCAAGTCTTCTGATTTACTTTAGCTTCCTTCTGGAATTTTTACTCCGATCCCTCCCCACCCCCACATCCTGGGCATCTGGCCAAGCTTATAAAAGCAGGCTTTGGATCAAGGTTTAGACATACATAGCCTATAAAAATGTCTGATTTAGTAATAATTAATCTCCTGTGCAACTGTATTTAGCTCTAAAAGGCTATGTGTGTTTAGCAGTTGCTCTTACTGGAAACATATCTACTGAGGTAGGTTGGAGATGATATAAATTTCTCAATCAATGGGGGGAAATCTAGGAGCATTTCCTTTACTGTCTCCTTATTAAATCTTTTAAAACTGCTGAACTGTGATCTTAGGTTCCTGAGTGTTGCTGAGGAAGGCCATTTACTAGTGTGGTGGGATTCTGCTGTGATGTTAACCTGTCGAATGTCAGCTAGATGATTCTTAACCACGGCATTTGGAAACCAGTGGGGTGTTTTCTGTTACCGCAGTGACGGGGAGCAGTACTGGCACTGAGTGGACAGGAGCAGGGATGCCATACTTCCTACAGTGCACAGGACAGTCCTGCAAAACCAAGAACTACCCTGCGCGAAATTACCACAGCAGTCCCATGATTGGCAGGACTTGTAGTCATCTCTAGTTGACTCCCAGTTGCATTCTCACTGGTAACTGTCTCAACACTTTTTCTGCTCTTCTTAACACCACTCAGTTCCTGCCATAATTTCATATTTTTGTTTTCTTAGACTCTTTATATCATTCAATAAAAACTTAAATTTACTCCCTTTCCCTTACCATTCTGTGTCTGCACCCACCCTGTTCCCCTTCCTTCCCACCCAGGGAAAGACATTTTCATCTCCTTTCCAAAGATAACGATGGCTCCACCCATGGTTTTGTTCCCATCCTACCTGATCCCATTCCCAGCTCTGCCTCTTACATCTTTAAAGTTTTGCTAGTTCAACCCTGGCCAGTGTGGCTCAGTTAGTTCAGCATTGTCCTGTGTATGGAAAGGCTGCTGGTTCGATTCCCAGTCAGAGCACATGCCCAGGTTTGGGGCTTGATCCCTGGCAGGGGGCCTTGCAGGAGGCGGCCAGGTGATGTTTTGCTCTCACATTGATGTTTCTCTCTCTCTCTCTCTCTCTCTCTCTCTCTCTCTCTCTCTCTCTCTTCCTCTCCCTTCCTCTCTCTCTAAAAATTAATTTAAAAATCTTTAAAAAAAAAAAATAATTAAAAAAAAGACTTACCAGTCCCTTCTTCCTCTTACCAAAGTGCTTGAGATTTCCTATCCCCAAACATTGATGAAAAGCAAGAACCAAAACTCCTAACCTACTACTTACCTCCTCAAATTAACATTTTGTTTCATTTCTTTAGTGTAGGGCCCAGTGTGATAAACAGTTTTAATTTTATGCAAATCACTGCCTCTATTTTGTTACCATCCATTGGCTCCTAAAACCTCATAATCCATCCTCCTCAATGACCCGTCGCCAGACCTCACTCTTCAGATTCCATGGCTTTCTCTGCAAAATTGGATCCTTAATTAAATCCCTTATTTAATGTCATTCCTCCTCCCTTTGCTTCAGTTTGCCTCCTGATGTTCCCACGAGGATAAGGGCCAGCCACGCCACATGAGCTTCTTCCTTTTAGCGTTTCCCTATCTGCGTATGTCCAGGAGTCTGGCTGTTCTGTTTCGGGGGATCCTTTTGAAACAGGGATTGCTGCCCTCCACTCTCTGTCCTTACTGTCTTCTCAGCTGAGTGAAGACCTTCAAATCTGCAAGCGGAGCTAGCCATACCCCTCTCTGAACTCCAGGCCTGACTGCCAGCTGCCTGGCAGGTCATTGCACCCCTGTAGTCCATTGCCACTCTGTAAATCGAACAAAAGAATATCTAAAACATTTTGGTGTATTTCTTTTAAGCATGTTAAGTTTGGTGATCATGTTTATTATATATGCCTGTCTCCACTACCAGCCTGAGCCCTCCTTCAAGACAAGGATGGTTTCTTATTTATTTTTTGCCTTAGTATCCAGTGGCTTAGACTGAGATAGTGGCAGTCAAGATGAAAAGAAGTAAATAGATATGGTGAATTTTTAAGAGACTGCATAAGGAAGACTAATAGATGTGAGGAATGAGGAAGAGGGAGAAGTCCAAATTACTCTTGGGCCTTTGGGTCGAGCAGCTATTGGCATGGTGCTGTCATTCACTGAAACAGACAAGATAGAAGGAAGGCAGTTGTGAGGCAAAGAAGAGTTGTACCTGTGGTATCTGAAAGCAGACATGTAGCAGACATTTGGATATGTAGGGAGCTCTGGAGAGAGGTATCTACCAGAAAGATAAATATGGGAGTTATGAGAACAGACA